AAGTTGCAGGTCGAGTCACATGGAGTCTTTGGAGTAGCAGCGGTACTCATGGGACTGAAGTCAAATATACATGGAAGTTTGACGCATTGACAAATTTATGGTGGTGGAGAATATTCGCCAAGGTAAAGTTTGTTAGAGTTATGTCGAATATTGTATACAAGGTAGGTTATTGTTGGACTCTGAGTAGTATTGTGTTTACATAGGATATGAAGCCGTGTCCTAGTAGACACTTGTATCCTAGGCCTCTCATATATAGCGAGGATAGACACACGATGTAACCTATGCCAACATAATATTCGACACAACTCTAAGAGGACTGAAATACGATGGATCACATGTACACGTGCCAACCAGATCGAGAAAGAATCTCTCTAGAATTACATGTAAAAACGAACAATTATTGTGTAAATGACAAAATAAAAATAAAGGGCACCCAGATCAGAACCCATGAGAGCGTTGGAGGAAAAAAGATGCAGTACTCACCTGTTGGAGAAAGAATCTCTCTAGAATTACATGTAAAAAGATGCAGTACACACCTGTTGCAGTACACTCAACTTGTTACTTGGAACGGAAAAACCGGATCTAGCTTGTTTGTTTTAAGTGATATATGGATATGCATACACCCGATCCTCTAGTTCTTCTTGTACTTCTCCCGAGCCCTCCCTCCCGGCTCTTTCAATTTTGTTGTGGTTCTGTGCTACTCCCTCCGTTTTAAAATATAGTGCGTTCTCGGTTCCCGTGCTTCAACTTTGACCACAAATTTAATCAACAACCACCGACTGCGGCGGGAGCAAAATTTATACCAGTGAATTCGTATTAAAAAACACTTTTCAATTATATAATTTTTGCTCCCAGTCTGTCTCGTTGGTTAAATTTATGGTCAAAACTAAACCTCGGGAAGCGCGGATGTACTATATTTTGAAACGGAGGGAGTATAACTTAAGCTTGCTATCATAAGTCGAATCTAGCTCAGTCATAGGCCTGCATTCATGCATGCAGCTAGCTATAGTACACCAAATACATGTCTAAAAATTACTTGAAACTTGTCTTGTCTAAAAATTACTCGAGAGAGGACAGAATCAGCAGCTTAACTTCCGCAACCCCGTTTAATAGAAATTAATTCATGGGTCGTCACGGTTATCTACCACTACTAGTAGCATGTATCTTCAACGCTCTCAGGCCCTTCCCAGTGCTTCACCCTGGACACGTGCTAAGCATGCCACATAAGCAAAAATATGACATGACACAATAATTAAGGAGGAGAGAGAGCACTTTGGTGACCCAAAGAAGAACCAGTGCCAAGCACGTGAACCTAGGAAAATCACTTAAATGAAACAACTTCAACAATGCATGAAAGAATTTAGGTGCTAATTCATTAAAAAAAGTGAGCTTAGTAACAACAAGTTACCTATCCATTGAGGAGTTAAGTTGCTTAGCCATTTAATGCACTTAGCACTATCTAAGCACCTCTTCATTGGAAGAGGCCTAATGAGCGCATCATGGGTTTCAGATAGGGCTGGAAAAAAAGCTCGAAACTCGCGAGCTAAACAAGTAGCTCACGACTCGGCTCGAATCGACTCGACCTCGAAGAATAACGAGTCGAGCCGAGCTTTAGTTTAAGATCGTTTATAGATCAAGTTAAACGAGCCAATCTCACGAGTACTTGTGTAACTCGTTAGGCTCAATACAATAGATCAGTCACTCCCAATACAAAGAAAGATCAGTCATTAAACAACCTACGTCCCAGGTGCACAACCCAAGGCCCAGCCGTTGAAGGCCTAGCCTCCTACACTACAGGAAACAGTTAATTTGCCGTCTGTGGATCACAGACGGCAAAGACCTAAATCCAGACGGCAAAGATTTTGCCGTCAGGAAGTAGGCGGCAAAGTCAGACGGCAAAGTCGAAGCGGCAAAGAATACTTTGCCGTCAGCTTTTCATCAGACAGACGGCAAAGACTTTGCCGTCAGCCATCCATCAGATTTGCCGTCAACCGAATAAATTACAGACGGCAAACAGAAGCATCTTTGCCATCAGCCAAACACCATCTTTGCCGTCAACCTCATACATCACAGACGGCATAGAAATATTTTTTAATCAAATAAAAAATAAACCTATAGTGCTGAGATCAGCTATCAAATATTTCATGGGATGGTCGACACGGTCAAGGAAACCCCACTACCAATCTTCGTATACAATACACATTATCGATTTTTTTTGCATTCCATATGGACAAAAACCCACAAGATATACCACACTAGATTGTACACAATACATATTATACAATACGGAGTACTGCATGTCTACATCACAATACACAGCAATATTACAGATGATTATCTTCTGGATCCACCGCGACTTCGATCTAGTGGAGACGAACAAGCGCTTCTCGATCTGCCGCCCCTCTATCTGTGTACGCCACTGCGGGATGCGCTCAATCTGGTGGCGCCAGCGCCGATGTCGGCCGGTGGCGAGGACGGAGGTGGGCTCCAGCGGGCGGATGGCGTTCGCGGAGGCAGGCGAAGGTGGGCGACGCGGGCGCGTGGATGAGGAGGGCGGCGTGCGGCCGGTTGCGTGGGCGGGCGGCACGCGGCCGGTGGCATGGGTGGAGGCGGGCTCCCATGGCGCGGTGGAGGCCGAGGCGGAGGCGGGCTCCGGCGGTGCGGCGGAGGTCGAGGAAGAGGCAGGCTCCGGTGGTGCGGCGGAGGTCGAGGCGGAGGCGGGCTTCGGTGGCCCGGCGGAGGCCGAGGCGGAGGCGGGCTCCGGTCGCGCGGCGGGGCGGAGGCGGGCTCTGGTGGCGCCGCGGAGGGGGACGGCGCGCGACGGGGGACGGGGCGTGGAAGCCGGCAGGGGCGACGGGGGATGGGGCAGGGGTCGGCGGCGCCGGGGTTGAGAGGAAGCGGCCGGAGCAGGGGCCGGCGGCGCCGGGGGTTGAGAGGAAAGGGCCGGGGTCAGTGGGCTAGGTTGGGGCCGGCGGACGAGGTGGTGTCGGGGCGCCGGCTTGCTGTGGATCGAGAGCAGAGAGAAGGGAGAGAGATCGTGGTGAGGGTGGGTGCGGGAGGATAAGGGAGAGAGAGATCGTGGTGTGTGGGTGCGGGAGGATAAGGGAGAGAGAGAGAGTAGTGGGGGCGCGTGGGGCGTGGGGTGAGGCGCTGTAGGGAGCCGGGGATGAGTGGAGTGGATCACGCCATGTCATCGATCCATGCGATCAATCCGCGTCTTGTGTTTCTTCTTTGCCGTCTGAAAAAAACACAGACGGAAAAGAGTCCAGTTTGCCGTCTGCTAATAAAAATGCAGACGGCAAAGATTCTTTGTCGTCTGTGAAAAAAAAACTGACGGCAAAGATTCTTTGCCGTGTGTGATTTGTTTTGCAGATGGGAAAGTGCTCTCTTTGCCGTCTGTGTTTTTTTTCGCAGACGGCAGAGTATATTTTGCCGTCAGTTTTTCTTCGCCGTCTGGTGATGACAGCAAATCGTTCTTTGCCGTCTTGCCTGACGAAAAGCTGACGGCAAAGACATTCCCTGACGGCAAATTAGCTGTTTCCCGTAGTGTCAGGAGACTCATGTGTTACAAGAAAATTACAATTATTTAATGATATATATATACATTTAATATATATACATAATCATTTTTATCATATTTGAGAACTTTATGTTTATATCTTTAACGAGCTTAACAAGCTAAACGAGCCAGTTCGTGAGTTATACGAGTCGAGCTAATCTTGGGTTTGAGCTTATTATAGTAACGAGTCGAGTCGAGCTAGCTCGTTAACGAAACGAGCTCTAGCGAGTCGAGCCAATTTCAGCCCTAGTTTCAGATGGAGCTAGTCAACAGCCTACGTAGTACATATATGCACACTCCGATGCATCAGTAGTTTTCATTTAAAAACCCGACTTCCAATGGACGCATTAATGGGTCCTTTTTTCCTCCAATGATTGAGCGCATTGCAGTCAAATTGCATGCCATATAATATGGAAAGACCTAGTAAACAGATCCACAGGACCTCGTTTGTAGTTTTTGTAGGTCAACTTGGTAATGGGCTTGCTATAGAACTGCACGTACCAGTCGGTTCACCAAAAAACTCAAGCTGATGAAAAAAAATGGGCTATGCATTTATACGTCAACACTTCCCACTGAAATACAATGGACTCCGTGTGTACATGAGAGCCAGAGATCGTTTGTTTGAGACCATGAGAGCGTTGAAGATGCATAAATGGACCGCATGTGTACATGTGAACCAGAGATCGTTTGTTTGAGAACATGAGAGCGTTGAATATAGATGCATACTGTGTTGAACAACACTGCATGGCACGTGGGCTGTCTAGGTTGTTTGGTTTAATGTTGCTCAAACCGCCCGATCGATTCAACAACAACAGCAGGGGATGAGTACTAGTAAGTAGCACTTGTTCTTGAACTGACTTAGACATAGGAAAAATCTCAAACTATTTCTGATTAAGAAAGTGCTAGGAAACAGCTGTTGGAGACTCTTATAAGAATCGTCTTAAAAAGAAACATTATTATATAAATATCAAAATTAATAACAAAAATACCCACGCAGGCTACTCAACTGTTACTCGGAACGCAATAACCGGATCTGGGTGGTTTGTTTTTGGTTATGTAAGCATATGCATACACCCATCGGATCCTCCCATTCTTCTTGTACCACACAGCTCCTGAGCTCTCTCCTTCTACCTAGCAATTCCGTGTGCTTCTGTGTTGTAGCTTGGCTGCCATATGCCGAATCTAGCTCACTCACAGTCACAGGTATGCATTTCTTCATTAGCGCCTGTACTACTATTTCTTCAAGCAATATATATCATATTTCAAATATGTATGTATGTATGTATGTATGTATGTATGCATGTATGTGTGCGTGTGTTTAATTTCTTGCTTGCAGGGTGGCGCATCAATGAGTGGAGTTGGAGCACCGATGCCTTCTTGGCTGGAACTATGGAATGAGTGGGAGATCCAAGCTGTTGTTATTGCCAGCTTCAGTCTGCAGGTTATCCTCTTCTTCTTTGCTGGGATCCGCCGCTACAACATCTCGTTTGTTCTCAAGGTCCTCCTCTGGCTGGTGTATCTGCTCGCCAATCTTGCTGCGACGTACGCCCTGGGGCACATGTCCTCGACTTTGTCGAAAAAATCGTCCGGCGAGCACCAGCTGGTGGCGTTCTGGGCACCATTCCTCCTGCTGTACCTCGGCGGCCAGGACACCATCACTGCGTACGCCCTGGAGGACAATGAACTCTGGCTGCGCCACCTGCTGAATATGTTTCTACAGGTCGCTGGCACCGCGTACGTCCTCTACAAGTACATCATTGCAGGTGGGGCGACCTTTGTCCGTTCTGCTATGTTGGTTCTGCTCGCCGGATTCGTCAAGTACGGAGAGAGGATATGGGCACTGAAGTGCGCAAGCAAAGGTTCCAAAGTGACAAGTAGGCCTGTTCTGCAACCAAAGGGCCAAGCACGAGACTGCTTCACCAGAAATAAACTGTTTGGAACTCATGCATTTCTTGTGATGGCAGCACACGCATTGCGCTATGTACTTGTCAAGCCTTTAGTCATAGACAGGAATGAGGCATCCGTAGACTGGAGTGATACCACAATCGACCTACTAAATAATCATGTACAAGAATATCAATGGGAAGATGGCGAGGGCGAAGATATATCGGCACAAGAGAAGAGGTATAGTGAGGAGGTGTACAAGGCAATTGAGGTGGAGCTCGCCTTGATGTATGACATGTTGTACACCAAGGCAGAAGTGATCCATACAAGGTATGGCTACTGCATCCGTGTCATTTCCCTTGTGTCTTGCTCTGTCGCTCTTGTGTTATTCACAAAAAGCAAAAGAGATGGTTACAACACTTCCGATATTGTTATCACTTTTGCTCTTCTGGGGGGAGCTTGCGCACTGGAGGTCGCATCAGTTTTCAAGGCCATTGGGTCGACCTGGACATATGCCAACCTGAGAGGCTTAGGATGGAAGTGGCTGGCCAATGCAATTCTGTTCGCACGTTACCACCTCATCATCGTCAAGGATGGAAGGTGGTCCAGTTCCATCGGGCAATATAACTTCATCTCCTTTTGTGTTCTCAGCACAAAGACTGAGCTCAAGGGAAGAGTAGCCAAATGGATTGGGCTCCAGGACTTGTGGAACAGAGCTCATTACACCAAACATGCAAAGCTTTCACTTGCCTTGAAGGAGTTTGTGTCAGACTTACTGAAAGGTAAGAAGCGTGACATGGTGCAAATTGAAGATGTGGGCATCCGGCGTGGGTACTGGGCCCGCAGGTTAACGGGATTTCACGAGAGCAAAAAGCTTGATTGGAGCCCGAGTTTTGAATTTCATAAGAGTGTTCTCATCTGGCACATAGCCATATGCACTTTCCTCAATGATCCTGCCGTCAAATTGGAGCTGGTCAACAAGGACATGGCTGAAGCGGTCAATGCTCTCTCTGATTACATGATGTACGTCCTGGTCGAGCACCCTGACATTCTGCCCATCAATGCAGCTGCTAGAGACCTGTTTCGCCAAACCTGCGCTTGTTACGCAGAGGCAGAGGATTTGTCTGAATATGTTCAAAATGCAAATGGGCCTCACCAGGTAATTCTGGATTACAAGAAAGGGAACAGGCGTCGTGAGGAGATAACAAAATTATATGGTAACTTGACGCATCCCAGTTGGGATGAATACCCGGGCGAAGCTGTGCTGGTGAACGCATGTACTCTTGTTCACACAATGCTCGACATGAAGTTGAGGCTCACACATAAGATGATTATAGTAGGAACAGTGTGGACGGAGATGTTGCGCTACGCAGCAACCAATGCTAATGGGGAATTCCACGCCAGGCAGCTGAGCAATGGTGGTGAGTTTCTGACCTACATCCTGCTCCTCACTAAATACTGTGCTGCTATACCCCCTATAGAAATGCCGTCCGAAGCAGCTGATGAAACTGTGGAGGCTAGTGCTGCTGGCCACATCGAGCTGAATGTGGACGATGAGATCACCGAAGTCCGCTGACTGATAGAGCTTCTCAACAACCTGCAAAGTTGTTCTCCTCAATTCCAGTATATCTAATTCTGTTTTTGCTATTGCGTTGCATTTGTAACTTCATTTCAATTTCAGTCTTATTGCGGCTGGTGAAGTACCCCTATGTAGCCTTTTTCTAAGACCCACCGAAACTGTTATGATACTGATTTGGATTTTCGCTAGATGTGTCATGCGTAGAGATGTGGTAGAAGCTCTAATGTTTATATTGCTTTCATACTGCATCCATGTAAAATTCCTTTCAAAATTTAACATCTTTCTGTGGCTGTATGGAGAGCCATAAACTGTGCCTTTTCCTTCAGAACTTTGCCTACAATGGAGACGAATTGTTTGGTAATACGGGGTCGAAATTTCACTGGGGGCTTCGACCTGTGTGGCGGTTGCATTGCATCTTGTTATGGTATGTTTGGAAATTGCGGAATGTGGCATGTTGTTATGGTATGTTGGGAACTTTGGAATGCGGCATGTTTCGGGCGCAAAGCAGCAATGCATCCCAATGAAGTGATTTTCTTTGTCAGTCGAACATATATTGCAATCTTGGGCTGTAATTGTATTGCAGAAAAAACGAGGCAAGTTAGCTGATGGTGATTGGAGTAGATGCTGCCGTAGCTGTAGTTTGCTGTTTTGGCCATCTGTTTATGTCTTGCTGACGTTTCTTCATGTCATTATTCTCGAGTGAATGGTGCACATCGCAGCTTCTGAAACTTTTGCTGCTGGAACTTGGGAAGAATGGAGGGCCGGGCCGGCGAAATCCGGGGCCCTGTGCAAAACTAAAAAATGGGGCCCTATCTAACTAATGGAATGAACCAACGAGCAATTATAATTTAAATATATCTAATAAAAAAACTATAATGTAGGAATTAAAAGTAGGAACTCAAGTTAATTGCAAAGAAGGAATTGCTAAGCACCTAGAAGTTAGAGTCGGTCAGGAATTGATCCGACGAGGCGATGAGTCTGAAATTTGGAGAGGAAGCTAGGAAGGCAACAACGGCAGCGGTCTGAATCCGATCCATCTGATGATGCGAAGGCAACAAGATCATCATGTTTCCTGTAGCTAAGCCAACGTGACTACTGTTGCGTTGTGGTCTCCAAATAGAGAGACGAGACGATCCCGATGGCTTCTTTAGCGATCCCATTTTTTGCGGTCTCTAGATCGAGAGATGAGGCCTGATCCCGCTGGACTTCTGTAGAGATCGGTATGTTTCCAATCGATGGAGCGGTTTCCTTCTTTTGAGACATATCGATCAAGTACCAGAACTCCTGCACTCGATGGCCTCGACTCAGGCCAGCTCCAGCTCCTGATCGTCCCAGACCTAACTTCATAGCGTATGATTTTTTTGAGAAATACTACTAGACCTATATACAAAATTCGGGGCCCCCCAAAATTGTGGGCCCTGTGCGGGCTGCACATTTCGCACCACTATGGGCCCGGCCCTATGGATGCTGTGATGCTGATGCTCCTGGATTTGCAAGCATTCGTGGCTGCTGATGGGCTCCCTACTGTTGATTGGTGTTGGATGGTTTTGTTTTCTTTCTTCTTTTCTGCGATGTTTCTCCCCTCATCCGCGAGCTTTGCTGATGTCTGTTTTCGTTGATCTGGGTGCTGCGATGAAGTTGAGTTTCAATGTACTCTGCTTCTTTTTTTTTTTTTGAAACGCCCAGTACTCTGCTTTGAGTATAACAAGCATGGCCGGGAGGGAGCACACTTATATCTTCTTAAAAAGAAGACTTCACTGGAAGCTATAGTGTTGATGCAACAATTGAGCTTCTCGCTGGAATGTGCTAATGGCTCAAGTGAGCTGGATGATTTGGCCATATGCATCGTTCTGATGCAGAGACTAGGGTAAACTCCTTTTTTGAAAAAAAAAAGTGAGCTGGATGATGTCTATTTGTCTGCTCTGGGTGTTGCGTTCTAGTAAATTTCAGTGGTCGTTTGACCGGTGCCCCAGTATGTACTCTGCTTTTAGTATACCTCTCTGATTCTGTTAGCCCAGCAAGACACGTGCCGACGGCTCCAACACACGATGGCTCTTTAGAACCTGCAAATTTCTCATGTGAGAACCTGACCAACCCGAAAGCAACCAAACAAATCAACCACGACAACCGAACAACCACGTCACCCAGGCACGCGCAGGAGCCATCGTAGAACGAGACGCTCGAGCTCGGCCATGGCCGCCACCGCACCCGGGCTCGAGCTCGGCCACGACTGCCGCCGTGCTCACCAGCACACCTACACGCCCGGGCTCGAGCTCGGCCATGGCCACCACCATGCTCACCAACGCACCCACACGCCCGGGCTCGAGCTCGGCCATGGCTGCCTTTGTGCTCACCAACGCACCATCACGCTCAGATCCGGCGCGCCCCTCGAGCCCTCCAGCGAGCAGATCTAGCAAAGCAGCAAGAATAGAGAGCCTGCGGCCCCAAGAGAGAGGAAGGGGAACAAGCAAAATGCAGCGATGGAGGAGGAAAATATCCACGATACGATTGGCAAAGAACGGGGCAGGCCAGCCGCCTCGTCCATGGCAGCGAGGGAGAGAGGGGGAGGGGGGCGAATGGGAGGACGAAGAGGCCGCCGTCCTCACCTCATCCACCGACGGGCCAACCAGCGACGACCACGCAACGGGCCAACACGTGAAAAGACCATAAGGCCCTCGACAGGGTGCTGGAATCACCCGCTGACACGTAACAAGCCAGGATGTGAGATACCATTTATGCCCTCGGCAGGGCACATAAACTACAAGCGGTGGCATGAAGGGGAGGTAACTATTCATTGCAATAGTGTTTTGGTTTGATTCGGCGGCCCAGATTGTCCAGGAGCGAGATCCAACGCCCAGAATCGCATCAAGCAGTTCGATCCGACGGCTAGGAATCCCTAATCGCTGTGAGCGTCCGGTTTCCCCTTCAGATCTTATTTCTGGATTCGAATTTATCGCACTGAGGCCAGCACAATTGGGCTTCTTCTCGACTGGATTGGTTCTGTGAGCCCAGCAAGAAACAAGCGGATGTCTCCGCCACACGGCGACAAGTAAACACCCTCCGTCGACTGACTTGCAGGCCCAGACGTACGCCATGTTAGTATTCAAATTACCTAAACAAGTATGTAATGGATAACTACTGCTATGTCCCAATACTGGTGGGGTGATGATGATGTGAAGAAGCATATGCATTGGTTTGCATGGTGGAAAATGTGCGTCCCAAAGAGCAAAGGAGGTATGAGC